CTAAACCCAGTTCTCTAAAACCCAGTTCTCTAACCAAAGCCGGGCTACAACTCATCGGAGCGGATGACGTGGAACAGGGTGACGTTGTACAGGATCTGGTGCCCGTTGTTCCAGGCGTACAGAGCCCTGTCCTTGGGGTTGTAGTCCAACATGGAGATGTGGGAATACTTGTTCTGGAAGGGGATGTCGATGTACTCGTAGGTGGAGGYGTTGGTCTGGTAGGCATAGTGCACCTTGGTACCGCCGGAGTAGCCATTGGTGACGTACAGCGTGCCGCAGATGATGAAAGCCTCTCCAGCGCTGCGTTTGGGGTAGCTGGTGTTCCAAGTCTGCAAGCTCTGCAGGGTGTTGGGGTCCAACTTGCTGATAACGATGTTCCCGGCATTCTGGTTGGTGGCGTAGACCGCCCAGAGCCCGTTCTCATCCACCATGAGGTCGATGTCCGAGTGGCCGCCCCAGGCGTAGTGGTACATGTTGTTGTAGCCGGCGTAGTCCAGGCTGCGCGTCTTGAGGATGGTCTCCGTTTTCAAGTCGAAGCGGATGATGATGTGGCTTTGGTATTTGTTGAAGTAGATGGAGCCGTTGTAGACCACCTGGCCCGTGCCCGACCACGGGTGCGGCAGGCGGTGCGAGGTGAAGTTGTCGGTGTTCATGAAGTCCGCCATGGATTTGTATTCCCGGACGAAGCGGTTGTTGTGGTAGCTGTCCATGTACCACACCTGCGTGGGGGACACAAAAACGGTGGGAGGGTTAGGAGGTGCCCCCCAAAAAAAACGGGCTGGGGGAGAAATGCACAGCCAGGAATGGTGGGATTGTCATAAAATGGGTTGGGRAGGGAGCTTAAAACTCATCCAGTCCCATCCATGCCAGGGAAGCCTTCCCCTAGAGCAGGCTGCYCCGAATCCCRKCCAATCTGGCCTTGGATTCAGCCAGCATCTGTCACCTACACCCAGACATAATTCAAATTTCTGGAGCCYTGAAATGGCCACAAAATCGAGCGTTCCCTGGGGGTGAACCCGGTATCTCCTCGGTTTAAGTGCCCCCCAYGGAATGCTGCGTGACCGGCACCGCCCTTCCTTCCCGAGGGCAATTCACAGCTTTTGCCGGGCTAAACCCAGCGATTTCTGTCCCTGCCGCTGCTTTGGCTTCCCGCGGTAGCACTCAGTAAATTACAGCAGCTGCTGTGCACAACTCCATTAATTTGGAATGCGGGAGCGAGGGATGCAATCACTCATTGTCAGGCAAATTCAGGCAAAAAGTCCATATTGGTTTAAAAATCATACACTGCTGCATCGGAAGCTTAAAGCAAGGCTGCTGAAATAGAAGAGGCAAAGACATCTAAATCTTGCTCTGGGTAGATTGGGGAGAGATTTTTAGATCATCATTTAAGTGCCAGCTCACTGGGGACACTGTCTAGACTCCTTACCCAAAAAAAAAAAAAAAAAAAAAAAAAAAAAGCTTTTGTTATATGAAACCAATTCCGAGGCAAATGACCAAGCTGTGCAGTTAATATCCACAAGAAATATCCAGCCAGCCACTGCCATTCTGGATGCAGTTGCTGCCTGAAAATGAGAGAGCTGCTTTCTGCAAAAGCCATTTAGGAAGGAGAAAAGGTAAATTTAGGAAGGAGAAAAGGTAAATTTAGGAAGGAGAAAAAGTAAATTTAGGAAGGAGAAAAGGTAAATTTAGCAAGAGGGAAGCCTTTAAGGCTGCAGATTTGGGTGATGTAGTGCAGATTTCTTGTGCAAACCCCTTGCAAAATCTGACAGCTCTGTGCCTGGGGTGTGATCATCAGTCTTTGGGAAGGGCAGCCCAACATTTGGCTGCTGCCTTTGGAAAGTCAGCTGGGGTCTCYAAAAACTTTTAGGGAATTTCAGCCTTCCTGGGAAAGCTGCAGAGGTTGGGGAGGAACGTGTGGCAAATGGCTCTGACCCTCAGCCCCAAATCTGGGTGGGTTTGAGGGTGTCTGTAAAACTCCCAAAGAACACCCAGAACTGGAAATGAAACACCTGCCTTCAGCTGAACCAGCTTGGGAAATTACAGGGGGGAAAAACATCCAAAATCTGATTGTCTGTTTGCTGCTCCCGTTTCATTATCTGCTGTCAAAAATTGAACACACAAACATATCGTGCTGTGTTTGTAAAGCCCAGCAGAGCCCTGTGACAGCACAGAGGGGCTGCAGGACCCTCTCCAAGCTCTGCAAAAGCAGGGATTGATGGATGAGCCGTGTCCCATCACAGCAGCTGGCTCAGAACTGCCTCCTCTCATCCATCCAAGCCCTCAGCATCCCCTGCTGCTCCCACGGGGCTCAAAATTCTCCCCCAGGGGTGTTCTGCGGTTTTATGGCACGAACAAACCCTCACACCAACACCAAACCCACCCTTGGGGGTGATGAAGTGCCCATCTCTGCCCAGCTCTGCTCTCCCACTCTGCTGAGCAGCCAGGGAAGTTCACTCGGTGGTGTGTTCCTAATAAAACTCCCAGCAGGTTTTATATATCTATAATTTATATATTAAACACACAGGGAGGCTTGGGAAGCTTCAGCTCCGGTTTGCAGCCTACTCGTACAACGAAAATACACTGCAGGAAAAGGCATGGCTAAAAAAACACCAAAAAGCAATGGTTTGAGATGAAACTCTCTGAAGGCACGGGAGGATCTTTAGCATCTGAACCACCAGCTTCAGCTGGAAATTATCAAAGTGCCAAGGGAAGCAGCAAACACAGCCTGAARGGGACAGTTCTGTCCCCTCTCTTGAGCAGAACGAGATGCCATGTGGGTAAACCCTTCCCGTCTCACCTCTAATCGGGATTTTATTTGGGCTGGAGGTGAAATTTTGCTTAATAACCATAAAATACGGAGGAGAATTAGGGAAGCAGTGCCAGCCAGTTGGCTGCTGGAGGGAAAGAGCCCAACAACTCAAGTCACCTTCAAAGAAAACACCCAGGGGTGACTTCTCCAGAGCATCCCTCATCCTCTCTTGGCTATGGAGCCGATGCCAGGGCACAGCTCCCAAAATAGGTGCCCTGATCTGGCCCTTGCTGGCGCCTTTATCCTTTGAAGGATGCTGCATGCAGGAGGGAATTACAGGCAGCCAAGCTTTGTGCCTTCTGTTTTGTTTTGCTGCCTGCAAATCCTCGGCAAACACTCGAGATATTTTCCATTCCATCAGTCATGGGAAGCCGGGATTGATTTTCAGCCAGTTATTGGCCTCCTACCTCCTTGGGATCAAAATTGAATGGTCTGAATGGGGGAAAAAAAAGACCAAAACAAAGCAAAACAAATCTCTCTCTCTGGCTGCAGTCAGTTAATTCCTCACAACAATGAGGGTGGAGGATGGAGGGCAAATGCAGGCAGATGACATTATCAGAGGTGCTGGCAGCAGAAAAGCAGCAGGGACCAGGACCACGGGTCCCTCTGCTCAGCCCCAGCTCCCTCCTGGCTGCCAAACACAGATTAGAACCCAATATGTGATTTTTTTTTTCSCCACACAGACCTCGTGGTGACAGTTCTGAGCCCATGAACTCATCACTGCAATGAGTTCATCCGCCCAGGAAAGGCACCACAACTCACCTGCTCCTCCTCCTCCCTCCCCGGGGAATGCTCAGCCCCCTCCTGCTGCCCCRTGGGATGAATTAGGACATTCCCCAGGTTTATCAGGGCACAATCTGGATTTTGGTGCTTTGCTGAGATGAGTATTCAGTGTCCTCATCCACACTGGTGGCACCTGGGGACGATGCTGTCACGGCCTTACCTTGTTCTCCCCCTCGGGAGCCAGAGGATCCGTCATCCACGATCCAAACCGGGACCCCGAGGTTTTAATCGTGATCGGGTCACTTATCCCCGTCAGCTTCCCACAGGCTGCAAGAGAGGGGAAGGCTGGTGAGCATCACATCATCCCCGACAGGGGCACCGGAGCCGTGCCCACCCACCCCGCTGTGCCCACGGCTCTGCCCTGCCCAGGGCTGCTTTAATTCCAGGCAATTGGGTCACCAACGAGTGGCTGAGGCTTTTGTTTGTTCCACGCCTCCTAATGACAATTGTCCTTATCGCTGTCCCCGACAAAAGGAGCTTTGCTGGAGCCGCGAATGTCACAGAACTGYCACAAAAACGGGGAATGAGAGCAGCGGGGCAGGGCAGAGCTGCAGGGCTGCTCWTCGCTGCCACCATCAAAGGCAGCCCAGGCTGTTCCAGCCCTGCTGGAAATGTGCGTTTGCCACAGATTGTGCAAAGGGGAAAGGAGAGAAATGTGGCAAATGGCACCCAACGTGAATCTCCTCCCGGAGAAGATCATTTAGCGGCATCCACCGGCCGCTTGTCCTGTTCCCGTTCGGGTTGCACGCTCAGAAAACCCTGCTGGATCCAGCCTGGCCCTGGGACAGGAGCCCCAAGGAGCAGGATGAGCTGGGAGTGTCCCGAGGATCCCTCCGGAGCTGCCCTGGGAATGCTGCCCGGACTCAGCCTCACCTGCACAGGGCTGGGCACCCGCGGAGCTCCGTGAGCCGGGCTCAAGGCACTCCCAGCGCTCCTCACCTGCTGAGTTCAGCGCCTCAAATCCATTTTAGGGATTTTCAAGCCCTAAAATACTTGGGGAAGCAGCAGCAGCTCTCTTCCAGCTCGTTTCCCACCCCAGCACCCCTCTGGGGCTGTGCATGGACAGGATCCTGCAGCCTCAGCATGGGAGGTGCAGCCGTACCCAAATTCCTTCTCCCAACAATATCCCAAATTCCTTCTCCCAACAATATCCCAAATTCCTTCTCCYAACAATATCCCAAATTCCTTCTCCCAACARTATCCCAAATTCCTTCTCCCAACAGTATCCCAAATTCCAGCCAAGCTGCCGCTCTGSTTCCCTGCCTCACCAACATTTTACGTGTGTGCAGGGGGCAGTGACAGGTGAGGAGATGGGGATGCCTCAGGGGGGATTGGGGGAGGTGGGGATGTCCTGTTCCTACAGCAGAGCTCATTTAAAACCCAGACACAGCCAGGGCAGAGCTGGGCCTGAGCAAGACAAGCTCAGGGCAGAGCCAGCACCTGAAGCTCAGGAGGAGCTCCCTGACTTCTCTTTTTTGGTGTGGGAGCCTCAGGCAGGCTGGGGCAGAGAAAGGGGGCGATTTTTTGGGGGAGAAGCCGCTCTGGGTGCGGGGTTGGAGCTGCACTGCGGTACCTGCTCAGCAGGACCCGGGGCTGGGAGGCTGCAGGAGCCCTGCAGGTGCTGCTGGAACACGGGGAGAGCTCGGCCAGCCCAGGACAAGGTCATCCTGCTCCAAATCACCAAGTCAAATCACAGGATGGCTCGTTAGAAGGCACCATTAAAGGTCATTTAGTCCAACCCCCTGCAATGWGCAGGGACGTCTTTAAGCAGATCGGGTTGCTCAGAGCTCTGTCCAACCTGACCTTCACAGAATCACACATTTTACACCTTGAGCGTTCCCAGAACTCTGYAATCTCTCAGCTGCCTCTGTCCTCAGCCTGTTCTCACCTGCAGCTTTAACTCCTGACCAGACACATCCACCTGGCTCGGTTCTGAGCTGCGGCCAAAGGGAACCCAGGGCAGGGGACAGATGGAGATATTCCTGATGTGCACCAGCAGGACACAGCCGAGGGGACCATCAGTGCCAGGCAGATAAAGAGAGATRCCCCCAAAAATCAGAGAGCTCTCCTGGCCTCTCTGACACACGAGATTCAGGCATTGCTGCACCCCAAAACTCTCAGCTCAGGGCGAGAGCAAAGGATGGCAAAAGGGATGCAATGGGTTAAAATAACAAATTTTAATGTCTTGCAAGGGTCCAGCCTCCCCTTAATCCTGGCTCTGCTCAGCGCTGCCTTCCATTATCACAGCCCTACATTGTTGTCACTTTATCTCTTCCTCCCATTTCCCTGGAGAGGAGCGTCGGACAAAAGCTCATTGATTAGAAAAAAAAAATAGTTAAAAAAAAACAAACCAGCAGCAGCTGATAAGGGTAAACCAGTGTTGTTTGCAACATCTCCTACACGTTTAGCTCGAGGCACACACACRGCCCAGCTCCTCAGGAGAGCTGTTCTCACTCGGGGCAGCGCCTTCTCTCTCCTGCTGTGACCCCACCCCGGGCACTCTGCTGCTGGGGGGAATTTCACATGGATTTTTTCACTTCTTTTCATCCCTAGCTGGCTTTCCTGAGTTTTCCACCCAGGCTYGGACAGCTCCAGCCCCTGGGATCYTCACCCATCTGGGGAGAYCCACAAYCCACACCACACCCGGGGTATCAGCAGCRATTTCCTCCTGTGGGTGCTGAGCTTTCTGCAGCAAACCCACTCTCCTGTTGGGGTGGCAGGAGGATGGGATATTTGGGAATCCCAGGTCACTCAGGGACAAATGTTCCCCCAGAAAGGCACATCCTGGTGCTCATCCAGGAGTCCAGGATGTGGAATCCTGTGAGCAGCACCTTTGGGGCCTCACAGAGGAGCTGTTCTCGCTCCTCTTTGCCCAGCACTGCCCAGATCCTTTTCCCTGGACACAAATCAGCCTTTTCCCACCTGTCCCTCCATCCTGCCCTGCTCCCCTGCAGTTCTGCCGTCCCCACTGAGCCCCTTCTTTCTGAGCCACACCAGGAATGTTCCAGCAGGAGCGG